CCCCCCCCCCGCCCTGGAGGAGACTCCTAAGGGACGCTCGGCAGAGCCTGAGACCGTGGCCCACCCTGGCATAAGCTCAGAGGGGTGGCTCAGGCCGGGGCACTCTAAGGTACCACGTGGGGGACGGCACCTCGTGAGGGGCTCTAGTGGTGGGCCTCTTGTCTGCGGCAGGGGACAGGGGTTGATCTTGGGAGTACAGGTCAGGCGACCTCCGCCCCACTAATTCACTTCTGCTCCCACAGTCTCTCTCAGCGGGGCCCCACCAGAGGGAGGGGGCGGGAACCCAGGGAGGCGCCCCAGTGCACCTGAGTCCGGAAAGGGGGGCGTTCCAGAAGCAAAGGACTCTTTCCGGTGGAGTATATACAAGTCTTTATAAAAGAATCAAAAGCTCAATAAATATGCAACTTTACACAGAGCCCAACCCAAGGACTGGGTGGGAGGGAGGGAGGGAGGGAGGGAGGGAGGGAAGGAGGCGTCCCGTTTGGGGCCAGATGAGGATGGAAGTGGGAAGGGCTGCCTGGGATCCCAGCCCTGGAGCCCAGACCAGAGGCTTGGAGCTGGTGACTCCGGGGGTATTGGGCAAGGGACCCTGCCTAGGCTGGGGGGCGGAGGCACAGGCAGGTTAGTGACAGTGGTGGCTGTAATGGAGCCCTGCAGCCTGGGCCTGGGCCTCTGCTGAGCCCTCCTCCACTTCCAGCCAGTCTGGCAAAGTGCAAATTGGGCCCTGGGGGCGGTGGCAGGGGTCCTGCCCAGCACTCTGGCTGGGGCACACATAAGGCAGCAGCTGGAGCAGGGGCCGGCACACCCCAGGAAGCGTGCTGTCTGCTGTCCCTTGGTCAGTGGCACCCCTGGGAGCCTCCCTCTGCTCAGACCTCCCTGCAGTGGAGAGGAGGGGAGAGATGGTCCTTCCTTGGCTGAAGGCACGCGGAGGGGCCCCAGCCACCCTCTCCTCCCGACGGGGAGCCTCAGGCGTCTTCTTCACCACTGCCCACGTTTCATCCTCACCAGGTGCTGAGGCTGGTCTCAGGCTCCCTCTCCCACACCCGTCCCCAAATGCCATCTGCTCCCCGCCATGACAGTGCCCCCAGCACACTGGGCCACCTGCCCCAGGCCAGGCCACTCACGAGGCAGTGAGGGTGGAGTTAAGCAGCAGGGTGGTCCTGATTCGGTAGAGCTGGGCCAACGTCAGCTTCCTGTGCTGGGCAGAGGTCCCTGGGGGGTGCTCAGGCTGGACCCTGGGCGAGGCCCCCGAGGACAGCTCTCTGCTCCTCCTGGTGGGTCCTTTGGGCTCCCCAGCTGGACAGCCGGCTCCACCCTCCAGCTCTGACAGCTCGGGGCCACTGCCAGGGCCTGGTGTCCCCTGGCAATCCCAGCTGGGCCCAGCTTCCTGAGGGGAGCCCTGAGTCCTGGTGCCAGGGACGGTAGCAGCCAAGCAGAGTTCCGACAGGCTGCGGCTAGGGGCTGGGGGCTCTCCACGGGTGGTGGCCCCCGACAGCAGCTGGAGGAGACTGGCCTCAGATTTGGACTTGAGCAGGTGGGGCAGACAGGGCAGCAGCTGGACAGGAGTGCGTCGGCGGAGGCGCGGCGAGGGTGGGGGTGAAGGGGCTCGCGATGACTCTGGGGGCCGGAGTGCTGGCTCCACCGTAGGGGCCGGGGCCATAAAGTCTTGCAGGGAGGTTGGGGAGAGGGTGCCGTAGGCGGAGTCTATAGAGCAGGAGCGGCCATCCACTGGGCCCAGGGGCAGCAGCTCGCTGGTGGGCGTGACAGACGAGGCGGTGGTGCCGAGAGAGGTCTCGTCTGATTGGGAGCTGAAGGGGCCGCCCTCGAACTCGGGAGAGGACAGCATCCCCCCAGGCTCCACCACCACCATGGCCAGGGTCTCCGTGGAGCCATCCGAGACACTGTGGAGCCGAGAGGAGAGTCAGCCGAGCCAAAGGAAACCGCGATGGTGCAGCCCACGCTGGGCACTGCAGAAGTCTACAGCCTCTGCCCTCCTGGAGCTCAAGGCTCAAGAGATGGCAAGCAGGTGGCACCCGAGCCCACAACACAGGTATCAGTAACGGTGTCTGTCGTGACCACAGCATCTCCTGTTGGATACAGTCTAAGAATCTTGAGCTCAGCTCCAGGCAGCTACCACTAATGTATCAGACTTGGCACTCAAGTTGAAAACCGTTTGCCATCCTCCCCTGGACTCTGGTGGGAGACGGAGCCCCCGTCCCCACCCCCACTGGGTTCCCATCATAAAGCCATTCAGAGGAAAGGGGTGTGACCGGCCCTGTCCAGTGCCAGCGGCCTCAGGGTCAGGAGTCCTGGCTGGAGTACCTGCCCTGCTCTGGCTTGCTGGGCGGTCCTGGGCCAACATACCAGCGCTGCGAGTCGAGGCTGCTGCTGCTCTTGCGCAGGGCGGTAGGGGAACTGGCAGCCGACGCGCTGCTCTCCCCTCCTTCCTCGTCCTCGTCCTCCTGCCCGTCCTCCTCCTCTTCCAGGCTCTGCAGGTGCTGCTGGCTGCCTGGGTGCTCCTGCACACGCAGCTGCTGAAGCTGGCTCTGCAGGGGTTGGGTGCGCAGGGCCCCAGCGGGCTGTGAGCAGCGGTCCCCACCAGACCGCCCTGCCAGCCTGCCCACCGCTCTGCTCTCACCTGGGCATCGTAGATGGCGTCCACCCAGCCACGGCACAAAGCCTGGCCGCTGGCCTGGAACGTGTAGGCCCCCACAGCACTGTGGAACTCGTTCAGGTAGATGAGAAGGAAGGACCCTGGTTAGGAAGGGCTCACCTCAGTGCTGGCTGAGACCACGGCCCCCGCCCGTCCCAGGCCCTGCCCAGGGCCGGCGGGGCCGGGCTCCTCACCAGGGTCCCGAAGCTCCCGGCACACGATCTTTTCCACCAGCAGTGGCGGCCTGATCACCTTGGTCCTCTCTGCCTTCTTCACTGCCTTGGTCACCAGGAGCAGGTCAGTGAAGAGAAAGCAGTACACGTCCATCTGGGGGATGGGAGGCCGCGGGATCAGAAGCCAGAGGTCAGGGCCAGGGCAGGGACCCTCAGCCTGTCTGCGGCCACAGCCTCCCCTGGGGGTACTGGTGTCAAACACCTCCCTTCCCCCACTCCCCACGAATCTGAGAGTAAACTTCAAATGAAGGGCGAGCCGACTTTCTTTCATCAAGCTATATACTTGTGATTTATGCCTGTTAAAAGTTTACATTAAAGAGGAAAAGGAAGGTGGTTTTAAAATCACGCTTTGTAGGCTCCGGGTTACACAGTGCCTGAAAAATTCATAGCTCAGTAGCAAGACGCTGGGCTGTTCCTGTCCTGCTCACGGAAGGTGCCCCCTCCTTTCCACCAGGAACACATGTGGCACTGGCAAGTGGGCTAGAATGGCACCTGATGGGCTGGGACCCGGCTGCTGTATTTGTAAAGAGTAAACTGCAGCCAGATAATCATCCCTCATATGATCATAAAAGTCACCAGTTCTTAAATTGCCACCCAGGTGACTGGGCAGCTAAGAATCACAAGCGGTCCCAAGGAAGGGGTGTTGGAAACCCACAGGGTGAGAGGGGGTGGGGAGAGGACCCTGGGTGTGCGGTGGAGTCACCTTGCTGTCCTTCCCCTCCTTCATCCTCAGGCTCCCTTCCAGCAGCAGCTGGCGTGTCTCCTCAGGGGAGGCGCCAGGGATGGGTGCTGTCAGGTCCAGATGTAGAAATTCCTTCAGGAGCTGGGGGTTTGGGGGGGCAGGTGCAGGAGAGGTCAGAGTCTGCCTCCTCATCTCAGCGAGGAGTTCTCCAGAGAGATTCCCAGCGTAGCCTCCCGTCTGTCTGCCAGTTTGGCCCTTCCTCGCTCCCAGCAGGGCCAGCGACCACTGCACAGACGGAGGCGCCCACCTTGTCCACCTCGTCGTTGCTGCCCTCCACCACCTCGTAGGCGTCGATGCGGCTCACCACGGCCGCCAGCCGCTGCCTCTCCTGTCGCTGCCGCATGCACGCGTTCACGTGGTGGATGAAGCGCTCCACCGAGCCGATCTACGGGTGGGCCAGGGCAGTTCAGGTACAGGGCCAGGAGGAGCCGCAAGCCAGGGAAGGACCCTGCCCGCCGCCCCAGTTACCATGGTGACGACGGCCTCCTTGGCGCGCGGCTCGTCGGTCTTCCTTAGCACCGACTTGAGCAGCAGCGGGTACTTGGTGAGCCGCTGGTGGGGCTTGGCCAGCATGTCGCTCAGCTTCAGCCGCTGGCACTGCTGGTGCTTCTCGGCCCACTGCGGCGGGGAGGCGGGGGCGGAGCTCATGGCAGGCCACGCCCAGCGCCAGCCCCCCCCCCCCCCCCTGCCGACGCACCTGCCGCCCAGGTGGGCCCACCGTCCTGTGCCCTGGCCCAGCAGCGAGCCCCACCCGCCCTCACCGTGACGTAGGCCCGGAAGAGGTCGTTGTCGCGTAGTAGGCCCCGCATGTACTCCATGCAGCCCTCCTCCTCCATGCAGTATCGGATGTAGGGCTTGAAGAGGGAGCCGAACTGGCGCAGGGCGGAACAAGCACAGCACCCGTTACCGCGCACTCCCCGCGGGCTGGGCCCGGCAGGCACTCGCTCTTCCTTACTGCCTTTCGCGACCACCGCAGGGGGCAAGCTTATTATCCCTGTTTTCCACGTGAGGAAACAGCCTCAGCGAAAGCGATCACCCTCGGCCAGATAGCAACGGTACACGGCCAGGTGGGGTTCACACCAGTGCAACCGATTCTGAATTCCACGCCTCTGACCACTAAGGGTCATTCGGGCCATCGGTCAGGGGGAGGCTGGGGTGGTGGGCAGATAGCATCGACGCCCCAGCCCCGCCTCAGTGTCCCTGCCTGCGTCCGACCCGGCCCGTACCATCTTAAAGCCTTTGAGGAAATCCCCGGGCTGCAGCAGCGCCCGCGTGCGCCGCGCCTTCTCCAGCACTGGCGCCATCACGCTGCCCCACAGCCCGCGGTGCAGCCGCGCGATCTCCGGGACGTTGCTGAACAGGCGCTCCGCCTCCACCTGTGGGTGGGTGGGAGGTGCGCTCGGCCCCGCCCCTCTACCGGGCCCCGCCCCTGACCATCTCCCTCCCCTCCCCTCCCACCACCCGTAGGCCCCGCTCCCACCTTTCTTCAGCACGCCCCCATCCCCACCCCCTGGTTCCAGGCCCCGCC